AGACTAGAAATGATGAGGAAAAGCGTCCACGGAAGAGACTGCGTTGTATGTGCCTCTCCTTTGGCTGCCTACAGCAAGCATGCATCCACATAACCTACCCCAAGTAGACGTGTTTTAGAAGGTAGGTAAGGAGACACCTGTTCTAGCCCCAAGAGAATGTTATTTCTGGACCAATGTGGACATCTGCAGTGGTGTGAAGATGCGGATTCTCTGCGGTCCCCAGCGGCCCTCGGTAGCCGGGACTGCTCTCTTCAGCTCACAAATGACTCTGCTCACGGGGCCGATGGCTGACCCAAGGTCAACCAAGGCTGCAGACAATCCTGAGCAGTTCCTAACAAACACCCCCGATGAGGACACCCAAACCTTGAAGGGAAGACGGTGAGCTCGTCACAGGCAGGAGGTGGCAGGCAGGGTTACTCCCGGGACATGTTCCTGGCATCAGTGCATCTCTACACAATTTTAGGCACTTCTTTTATTTTTTAATTTTTCTTTTTGATTTATTTATTTTTTTCCCCCAAAGCCCCAATAGATAGTTGTATGTCATAGCTGCACATCCTTCTAGTTGCTGTATGTAGGACACGGCCTCAGCATGGCCGGAGAAGCGGTGCGTCGGTGCGCGCCCAGGATCTGAACCCGGGCCTCCAGCAGCGGAGCGCGCACACTGGAGCACACACACTTAACCGCTAAGCCACGGGGCCGGCCCCAGGCACTTCTGAACAAGTTTCTAAACAGCGTCTTAGGTAGAGAAAATCATTATAATGGAATTTTCATTCTGATCTCTTTACTTAGTGACACAATGGGCTCTCTGTAAGGAAAACACTGGTTTCCCACCATTTGCCTACAGGGAGGTAAAACTCAGAATAATTTTAATAACAAAGCTTCACAAAACGTCTGCTTCTATTTCAAAGACAGCAGTTTCTTGCGTAGCCTAGAACACTCTCACTTCCTGAAGGGAGTGTAAGGCAAACAATCAGGGGAACTAGGCATCACCACCCCTGCATTACAGGTGAGGAAACTGAGCCTCGGAGGTCAGGAACTTGACAAAGGTCATATCGCCAGTGAAAGGCGGAGGCAGTGCCGTCCAGGTCCAAGGTCCCACACTGCCAGAAAATGTCACAGCCAGAGTAAGGCTTTCTGGGCCAGCTCTGCCGGCCTCTTTTCACAGGAAACAGAGATCACCACCACCCAGATGATGCCTCTCCACGAGGTCTGAATAAGGACGTGGTGAGACAGCAGTGCGGGCAACAGAGGAACGTGCTTCTGCCTAAACAACTCTTTCACATCAATGAGACAGGTGGACTGACACCTGTGCCTGGCACAGTGCTTGGCACACGGCAGGAGCTCAGTCTTTGTTTGTAATTATTTCTTCATTGGAACTACTGTTTCTACGTCTGTAAATCCAATCTTACTTAAAGTGTAGTCTCAAAAGAAAGAAAACTTAGGAAGAATAAAAAGAAATGGCTTGATAACAACCAAACAAAATCACTCTCAAAAAGTAAACAGGAGTCTGATGATGTTAACATGATCAAATCACATATCACCAACCATTCTTCACTGGGGTCCTGGGGAGGAGGTATGTCTTTTTCAGAAAGATTTTCTTCATCATCGTCTCGTTCTCCTGTCTTTCTAGAATCTCTACTGGCACCAAACGCCTCCATTTCTTTGTGTCTATCTATGATCTTCTGCGTGAAATCCACAAGGTATATATCCTCCACTTCTTCATCCAGGACACAAAAACCAATTTTCAGATTCTTGACATCAAAGAAGAAAACTACACGTGGAATTGTTATGAAGCAGCAACATTCCTCTCTGGGCAGCTACATCACCCCTGATGGTTCACTAGTGGATGCCTCCACCCCCTGGAACACTTACAAAGACACAGAGCCACCACCGGACCCCACAGGGGACCTGTAAGTAGGCCACTGGAAACATACACATGAAAAACATCTTTAAAAAGCCTAAAGTTTTCTACTGCCTTGTCAATACACTGACTGAGCAATACTGTCTCAGAATGCAATTTTAAGATCACAAAACCATTTGATTTCAAGAGACTCATACAGCCAACTGCATAACACAGAAGCAGAACTGCATTTCTCATGTCAGACCAGGACAATAGATCTTTGTTGCTATAGGTAATACACCTCTCCAATCATGTGGGCTGTATCACTTAACCCTAATTATATTGTTGTGGTATGGTGTTTTCAGCGTCATAACGCAGGTCAAAGAAGTCATCTGAAATCTTTTCAATCCAATAAACACCACTTTCAGGCAAGGCATGGTGCCAGGATCTGCAGGCATACAGAGCTGTGTGAGACGCTGTCTGTCCTCATGGCTTACGATCTATCTGAGCTAAAACACACTGAAGGTTAAATAGCAATCCATGACTCTGATTTAATTTAACCCAGGGCAGGTGATGTATTTGCTAATAATGTTTACATGACGTTTCCCTATGCAGGAGTTAAGATACAGTCACTGGAGTCTTCCTCTGAGCAGAGATGAAGCTCTATGGAACACATGTTAGGTTTCCTATTACTGGGTGCTGGTGTTACCCCCGTGCACAGGGAGAATAACTGAGGCTCCAACACTTAACTCGCCCAAACATGCAGGTCCAATATGCTTGTCAGGAGGTGGGCCTGCCAGTTTGGACAGAACCAAATTTCTACATCCACAGCCACACTCCTTTGGACCTGATTTCTCTATTAACTATATAAGGTAAGTCTGAATCAAAAGAAACAGGATTTTAATTTTTTTTAAGCCACAAAACTCAAATGAGAAAGAGACGGATTCTCCTAGAGCTGAGTAACAAGATCTCATAAGGTGAGGCCTCCTGGTAGATGGCCACCCTGCCACTTCTTCAGGAGGAAGGCAAAACCTCTCCGCACGGCCCTGAGCCATGTGAGTACCTGACCTTCCTAGGGCGGCTCCCTGCCATGCAGCAACCTGCCCCTGCTGTCTGGAAGAGGGAGCTCAGCTGGCGGGGCAGCCGACAACCTGGGGCCAGCCTCGCCTCTCTCCTGCTGCCCCGCTGCCCCCTTTCCCAGCCCCTCGGGCCAGCCACGCTAGTCTGCCCTGCCAACAATGCCCTGCCCTCTCCTCCCTAAGCTCATCTGCCCTCACCATTCTCCCTCCACAGAAACCCTTTCTCCAGCTCTCCAGGGCCTTTAAGACCACTACCAGAGCTCACCTTCTCCCCGGGACCTCCACATACTCACTTTCCCTGCCTTTTGGCAATGAAACACGCAATGCCTTGTAAAAGCTCTTCTACTCTTGTCTAAGTGAAGGTGAGTTTTCTTTTTCTAGAGGGTATGAGGAAAGGAGGATCTTTTTTTATTATTTTTAAAGCAATTAAAAGCACATCATAAAAAATAGAGAAAAACCGGGAAAAAGGAAACATAACTCTAGTACGTAGATATAACCGTAATTCCTCCCAGTCCTTTTCTTTGTAAACACAGCTATAATTGTTCGTAACTGTGGCCTACTTAGACCTTGTTTCCTAACCTCGCTTTGTTCTACATCATTTTCCTCCACTGCTGACACCTTTCTGAGGGTAGAGGCCGAGAATCTGGCTTAGACTGTCCTTGCTTGTCCCCTCATAGCACCCAGCACGAGGCCCGGCACCCACTGGGCAATTAAAAATTATTGTTGATTTTCTTGTCTCTGTGCTAGCACAGAAAGTAATCAATTTGATTTTTAAAATTTCACCCTATTCTTACAGTTATTTTAACAAATAATAAAAATACCATACAGTTGTATGAATTACAGAAAATAAAGTAATATAAACAAATAATTGTTATCTACCTATAAAGTCTTCTTTAGTCATTTTTTCATATAATTTGGCTTTTTCTTCCAATTTTTCCCTAGGAAAAAAAAAGACAAGTATTAGAAATGGTCTTACAGCTGCCACTCCTGATAAGCCTGCTCCACTCTTGGCCTGACTGCATCCATCTGCCCAAGAGGTCCAGCCCAATGAGGTGACCATAACTAGAGCTGACTACCCTGCCCTAAAGGGACCCTCAGACCCAGCCACAGCTGCTTTGCCAACTAAATGTAAGCCCCATGAGAGCACGGCCTACATTTCTCATTCATGACTGTAGCCCAGTGCCTAAAAAATACCTGGCACATAGTAGGTGCTCAATCAGTATTTGATGAATGAGTAAATGAGTGAATGAAGATTCCAACTTAATTTAAATGCCAAATGCAACTTAAATACCAAAAAGAGAGATGTCTAAACAAAAACATTTTTTATTTGTAACCTTCCAAATGGATCAACGCAAACTCTCTGCATTACTGTTTTTACACAAAGGTCCCTCGTCATCCACTCCTTATTCTCTAAGGGAGCTAAACACCAACTTCCTCTAAGTCTGTTAAAAATATAATGTCTGTTTTATACAGAGCATGAATAATTTACTCACACACATAGCTAATAAAAAACAAACATCAATCCTGGTATTTCAATACAGCAGCCTCTCTGCTCACATTCATTCTGGTGACATTTATTTTTTAGTGGGCAGAGACCAGGTAAGACGGCGGACAATTCTTTATTCTAGAAATACTTAATGATGGTAAAGAGCCCCAAAATGGTCATCTGAGCTTTTGCTGTGAAGGATCACACTTAATCATAAGGGAAAATTTCATTTCTAATGGTGTCCTGAGGCAACCAAGTCCCCTGGTCACATGGCTGTTTGCTCTGGAACAAGTTATTTAACCTCTCGTGTGCCTCAATTCCCAAATCATAATAGATGAAGAAGACACCACTGCCTCTTAGGGTTGTCATGAAGATTAATCAGATAACACATGTAACGCATGCCATCAGTTATGTCATCTTCATCTTTATCATCTATGTCAGAAAGAGTCCTCTTTAATTTCACACATTCATTCAACAAGTTCATGCCTCCTCTGTGCCAAGCACTGTTTTAGGTGCTGAGGACTCAGTGGTGAACAAAGACAAAAGTCCCAGCTCTCATGGGGTTTACATGCTAGAGGGGCAGAATGATAATGAAGAAATCAATGAAAAAGAGGATTTCAGACAGTGAGAAGTGCTCTAAAGGGAAGGAAATCAAAGCAGGTTTCGCCAGTGGAGGCCCTGTCATGCATTCATGGAGTGCTCTGTGGACCAGCTTAGTCATTTCAACTTCTAAGAGGTCAAGTTGCTCTACTTCGGATGGGGCTTAATGTAACAACCTGTGTCATCATGGAATCTTATTGTCTTAGGGAAAATAAAAGTTCAAAACACTTAAAAAACAAAACACACAAAAAAGCAGACATGAGGACACAGTACCTGGGTGGGATGCTAAGTAAGGTGGGGTAGTCAGGGGAAACCTCTTACGATGTTTGAGCTGAGGCCTGCACAGCAAGGAGAAATCGACCCTGGGAGGATCTGGAGGGAGAGAGCAAGTCGAGCAGAGGAAAGCTGAAGTGGGAATGAGCTTGACATGTTCAAGGAGAGAGCAGCATGGCAAAGGGTAGGAGCCAAGGAGAGAGTGGTACAAAGTAAAGACAGAGACAGGCAGGGACAAGAGCTCACGGGAAAGCCCAAGAAGTCTGGAGGCAGTGGGACACAAAGAGGGCAGTTTCAAGATGGCAGGAAGAGTCTACACGTGAATAGAGATCAAGGAAGATGTCAGAGAAATGGCCACTGGATTCAGTAGATGAGGAAGTCATTGGGGACTTGGAAGAACAATTTTCTTCAGTTGAGCAAGGAAGACGGAATTCAGAGGGCAAGAGTAGGAGACACTTATCTGGAACCCACTACATGTCAGACACTACGTATCGCCTTTAATCCCTCAAGGGCTTCATGAGCTGGGTATTAACCACCTCATTTCACAGATAAGGAAAGAGGCTTAATGGATACGTAACTTGCCAAAGGCCGTATATCCTCCTGGAACTGCCTCTGCCTGTTTTGAGCTCAGGAGAGACGCAGAGGTTGCACAGATCACGGACAGTCTTGACAGCTCACAGGTACATGAAACCAAAGTATTACAGAAAAAGTTACCAGATAGAAGAATCACAGTAAAACACCAAGGAAAACTCTGTTATACAGAGCAAATAAGAAAAGATTATGCCCACAGCTAACATCACACTACGTGAAAAGCTGAAAGCTTGTCCTCTAAGATGAGGAACAAGACAAGGATGCTCACTCTTGCCACTTTTATTCAACATGCTATTGGAGGTCCTAGCCAGAGCAATTAGGCAAAAAAAAAAATAAAAGGCATCCAAATTGGAAAAGAAGAAGTAAAACTGTCTCCACTTGCAGATGACATGATATCATATATAAAAACCCCAAAGACTCCACCAAGAAACTCTTAGAACTAACAAATTCAGTAAAATTGCAGGACACAAAAATCTGTTAGGTTTCTATACACCAATAATGAACTATCAGAACAGACACACAGATCAATGGAACAGAATTGAGAGCCCAGAAAATAAACCCACACATCTATGGACAGCTAATTTTCAACAAGGGAGCCAAGAACATACAATGGAGAAAGGAAAGTCTCTTCAGTAAACGGTGTTGGGAAAACTGGACGGCCACATGAAAAAGAATGAAAGTAGACCATTATCTTACACCATTACCATACACAAAAATTAACTCAAAATGGATTAAAGACTTGAATGTAAGACCTGAAACCATAAAACTTCTAGAAGAAAACATAGGCAGTAAGCTTTTAGACATTGGTCTTAGCAGAATATTTTCAAGTACCATGTCAGACCAGGCAAGGG